TTCATAATTCAAACCTCAAAAGTCAGTTGTGTCCGGGAATGATGTCAAATGAAAAGAATTGGTCCCACTAGGGTTACACATCCTTTTGATTACAGTCGTCTTGTGGACTTGGCCGTTCACGTTCATTTTGATATAGGGATCACTGGAAACATCAAAGTTGTCTATAACTTGAAGATCCTTTGCTTCAATAACTCGGACTTCAACTTTCATTGTTTTTTGATTTGGATTGTATTCCTCCATTAACACGTTTTTTCTTTTTCAGTACCTTTTTATTCATTCGGTGTTCAGTTTACTATTTAACATCTTTATTGTGTTATATAAGTTGTGTTCAAAATCAATTATTTAATTCAATAATTTTATTACTTTTTTAATTTAAATCACTTATTTTAATAAATTATTAACTTAAATAAAAAAAATATTATTAGTATTAATCTATATATTTACTATTATTTATTGATTTTATAACCTTTGATTATAAAATCAATTACAATTCTAAAATACTCAGTAAATAAATGTTTTAAATATTTTATAGTTTTTGGATATTTTTTTTTATAGTTATTTTTTCGTTGTTTTTCTATTGAAAATGAAAATTAACCAATTATAAAACAAATTCAAGTTTTTACTAAAATAAAAAAAAATCTCTATTTAATTGTTATAAATAAATAATAAAAATAATTAATATTTATAAATTGTTTTTAAAAAATATTTTCATTATTAGATAGATATTAATGTATAATATTAATATATTATTATTATGTTTGTAATTATTTATTTTTTTAAAAAATATCTTTTCATTTTTTAGAACGCTTTTTGTATTATTTTACATCAAAAACTAATTGTATTTTTTGTTTTCAATAATATTTCCACAAATAAATAGAAAAAGTAACAATACGATAACTAACAATCATAAATAATTGATTTTTGCACTTGAAAAAGCAATTTATTACAAAAAAATATTACAATTTAAATTATAATACATTAATACATTAAATAATAATTTTTATTGTTTTCAGTTTGATTGAAAAAACAACACATCTTAAATAATCCAAAAATGATAAGTTTCGGAAATGATTGGCATTTAAATTGTACCTTTTTTTTAAGCTAAACAATAAGTAATTTTTATGAAGATAGTGAGGAATCTTCAATATGCTTTGAAGAATTTTTCGTGATTATTGAGTATTTTAATTAATACTGTAATAAATCGGGAAAACATCTCAAGTGAGAAATTAATTAGAAAATTGGTGTTATATATTTTTCTTTCCAACTAAATTTATCATTTCAAATAAACTATATTTATAATACTTTTACTATAATTCAGTAATAAAAAGATCTGATTGAAGGAAGAAAAATTCAAAAATGTTTGAATAAAACCCGACATTTTAATAAATGATTGAGTAAAAATAATAAAGAATCCACTCAACTAGAAATTCAACTGAACGCACTTTTGGTTCAAAAAATGTAAAAATGCACAAACGCAAAAACGAAGTTGGCTATAAATAGAACGCCTTTACTCTGAAAATGAAATGAGTTTGAGCCCTGCCGACTATCCCGAGCACTACACAATCAACAAAGAGTCCAAATACTATCGCGAGATGATCCCGCGCCCGATGTACGAACAGCTCTTTGCCAAGGCGAAGATGATGGCCTGTGGATTCTTGTGCCAACAAGACCCCTCGCACGCACAAATTTTCAAGGAGAACTGGGAATCAATTGCTAAAGATTTGGAAGAGCCATTTTTTAAGGAGACCATGTATGAGTTCTTTGCTGGTTGCTTTGATCCAGAAAGTGTTATCTTCAAGGTTTCTATGAGAAGTTTAGTTGCTAAGATTTCACTCTATGGCCGTTTCTGCATTGAAAGGAATCTTGCCAAAGACGCAATTGAAACGATTCCAATCAAGAAACCGATTTATATAGTCGCTTTGCCAAGATCCGGATCAACATTCACACACACGATGCTTGGATGTGACAAGAGAGCCAAGACTGTTATGTTGTATGAACATATTTGCCCAGGGAATAAAACCACAACTACCCAAGCAAGACAATTAATAACTGAACAGATCATCGGACAAGTCACTACTGATGGTCAAGACATGAACAAGTGCCACAATATGGACAATGTTATGATGCCTGAAGAAGAACTCTTTTTCATGGAAACACTTGCACATACACACATCTTTGGTAATTCCATTCCAAGATGGGAACAATACAGAGAATCATGCTACACTAGAGACTGGGATAAGGTCTATTACGCCGTATTGGACGAAATTAGAATGTCTGCGCTTGAATTCCCAATGAAGGAAGATGGTCACTTCTTGTTGAAGTGTGTCTCTCACTTCATGACTCCAGCACCGTTCTTTAACATCATGAACGACGACAAATTCGACTCCAAGATCGTTTGGATCCACAGAGAACCCGTCGATGAGTTCAAAAGCTGTTTCTACTTGCTCTTGAACGCACGTGCCAGGTTTAAAGGTGACTTGGGAGAGGACGACTACTTGTGGCTCCAACAAAACATCTTGAAGGTTAATGAGATCTGCCTCAAAAATTCATTCGCCTTGAGGGAAAAGTGGATTGCTGCTAAACCAGAGAGAGCAAACAGAATCATTGATATCGGATTCAGAGAGATGATTGCTGACCCAGTCGCAGTCACTCAAAGAATCTATGACAAATTTGGACTGGACTTGGCTGAGGACGTCAAGACTCAAATTGTTGCTGCTGCTAAGGAAGGGGATAGACAAGGTGCACACGGCAGAATGGCGAAGAACAAAGATGACTTCTTAATCAGTGATGACAAGATCAGAGAACAATTCAAGTGGTACTATGATATGTATGGAAAGTACATGCCAAAGTTCTATAATTGATTCGACAGTGGTCCTATTAATAACATTTTTTAAAACAATATTAATAACAATATTAATAACAATATTAATAACAATATTAATAACAATATTAATAACAATATTAATAACAATATTAATAACAATATTAATAACAATATTAATAACAAATTTTTTGATAAAAATCAAAGAAAAAAAATTAACTAAGAACTAAAAACATAATATGACGAAAAGAAGCAGAGTTCTTGTGATTTTATTTATTATGCTTCAAATGTTGGGAGCTTTGAGTCAGCCGATTCCAAAGGATTTAGTCGCAGAAATTCAGACAATTAAAAATAAACAAATAAAAAAAATCACGGATCTTGATAATCAGGCAAATGACATCGAGAAAAAAATGGACGAACTTTTTAACCAGGCTAATAAGATCCGCCTTGCCAAAACGAAGGCCAAAATCAATGACACATTGACGCGTGCAGACAACATCTTCAAAAATCAGACAGAGAATGAGGTGAGGGAGATTGACAACCATTGGAAACAATTTTCGAATGACACGTCGAAGATTGTGGAAAATCAACGAAAAGTAGCGGGATATACAAAAAAGAATTATTTGGCGCAAAAGAAACTTCTCAAATTTTTGAAACAGCAAGTTGTTAAAGAAAATGCTGCGTTAGAGGAGAAAAGGAAACAAATGAAGATTGCACGAGAGAATGAGATTAAGGAATTGAAAACGATCCAAACTGCGCTGAGGATTGCCAAAATGAAAGGTATGGCGGAACGAGCAAAGGCTGAGGAGGAACGACACACAATGTTGCACAAAGCGGCTGAAGAAGAAAAACTAGCGACTTTAGCTGAGATAGCAGAGAAAAAGAAAACCGTTAAAATGTGGAAACGAAAAATTCAAGAATTAATTGCAAGTGAAAAAGAGCACCACCGAGTATTAGATGAGATTGAGCTGGCGAAACGAAACGCTCGAATAACGCAAACACGGAAAGAGGGGGTACAAAAGCTTCGAGAAAAAGAACAGCAAGCCGCACGAACCTCACAAATCAAGGCAATGATCAGACGAAAAATGGAGAAGGAAAGACTTCAAAAATTCAATTTGGAACTGTTCAAGAGAAGATGCGAAGCACTCAAAAAGGCATATAACAAAAAACCAAAGAAGTTGGTTCATCTCTGCATCCCACAATCGAACATCAAGTTAATGGGAAAAATGAGAAAATGCCTCCCAATATGGAAAGAAGACTTACCCAACCTCAAACAGAAACTCGACACAGCGGATAAATACAGAGTCAAAATCGCTAAGAAATCGACACAACCCGACCCACAAATCGAACTGATCGTCCCCGTTTACTAATCAAATTTTTTAATTTTGTTATAGGTTTTTATAGAATATGTTTTCCTATTTACTATTAAATGACTAATTATTAAATTAAAAGCTCAAAAATGGTATAAAACAATTGCTATAAAATATTAATATATTACTATAACAAAAAATTGTTTTTATTTAGTACATTTATCTAATTAAAGTTTTTTTCTGTGATAATAATTTACTAGAACGTAATAGTTTGAAAAATTTAGTTTCAAATAGATGTGAATATATAGTAAAGTATAATTAATAATATTATTAAAATATAATTTAAAATATATTATTAAAAAACATTTTTTCAACAAACAAAAAACTATTAATAAACTATCAATAACAGTTATAAACATGGAATATGACTTGATAGCTCAAAGAGCTTGGAGAACAAGAAGTCTGCTACATTCAGATTTCTCCGTGAATGATTTGTATATCAATGGGTTTGCCATTCCTGAATAGAAAGCGTACAAATCTTTCATCACAAAATTGAAGTTTATAACACCACTCTTTTCTATCCAAAAGGCACCATAACATGTCAGTAACGTCGAAGATTCATCACCATGTACAGTAAAAGCTTTAGTGCATTCCGTTTTTCTCTTAATGAAAGTTGGACAAGACGACGTTTTGGTGTACGAGAACAATTCCATTTGAGTTGAAGTGACAGTTGTTGGTCCATTCTTTGCGAGTGGAGTCACAATGTCATGCTGAATAAAGCCGAATTTCTCTTGTCTTGTTTCAACAACAAATATAATATTCTCTTTGAATGAAATTGCAGACTTCAACACTCTTGAGTCAAACCCAGACAGATTGGAGTCATACAAAATTTCTGGTTCAATTGTTTTTGAAGTTTGTTGGATGAAGACTAACATTTTACTGGAGCGCGTGTTCTTCCTTGGTGAAGAGTCAACAGAGTCGTCTTGGTCGATAACTTGAGTCGAAGACGACGAACGTTTTTTTAAGATAGATATTCCTTTCCTTGATCGCGGGGAGAGAAACCCTAATGACCTTTTTCTTTTCTTATCAGTCTTTGTGTACAATGGTTCGGAAGGCTTAAGATAAGCCAAGGGGCTTTCTTGAATAGGAGAGTCATTAGAAGAAGAACTCATAGAGTCTGATATATATTTTGTACCCACAGAAAATATAGGAGTGACTGTTAAGTCGTCTGTCTGCACTCTCTTGTGTACTTTTGTCGTTGAAACAGTTTGTTGTGTGTTGCCCATTGAATGTTGATTACTAATGTAGTGCAATAGCTTTTATAACCCTGTCTACACAATAACTGTCATACAGGCTATTTTTTACTTCCAGTTTATAAAAAATGTGGAACTTCCGAATATTCCTATCTCCCTTCCGGGAAAACACCAAAAGTAACTCCTCCACACAAATAGCTTTTATCAAAATAAAATACTGTTGAGAGTATTTTTGCTTGTTAAACAGTCATATTATACAATCAGCAATTGAATTCTATTTCTATAATTTGTATTATTATATTTTATAGTACATTTTTTATTTTTTTGTGACGGTGTGAAAAAAAGGCAGTTTTGCGGCGTTCTTTGTGTTGAAGGGAAGAACTGTTTTTATTTAAAAAAATTTCAACCAGAAAAGGAGTGACAAAACCATTAAAATAGCTTATTTTATTATTGATAATAGTTTCAGCTTGAAATTGGGACATACAATTAACTCATTTTTGGGGGTTAATTCAATTTTTTGGCATTTTGTTTTCATGTTCACTTTTTTCATATTATCCGTCTTTAATTCAAACAAATATAAATAATACCACCCATACAATATAAATTGCCGAATTAAAAAAAATGACTGAAATGTGAATTATTTTAAAATATGGGACCAAATTGCTTGATTTTTTGTTACATGAAAATACGGATTGGTCACTTTTTTGGGGTTTTACAATTTATAAAATGAGTAACAAATTTTTGTCTTCAATATCATGCTCAAATTTACACTTTGATGCAACTTTCTAGTTACATTTT